TTGCAAAATGGCAAGCGGAAGCATAAATCGCCAGCATATAGTACACAGATTGTATTTGCTCTGAGAGCAAGCCACACTTTTTGTACGTACATACACACCAAATTTCCACTCAATTCTGCTCCGTAAATTTCCATGCCATGAAGTTTACTATGTTGGCAAGGAGGACCAGAGTTTTGTTTCGTTTTGGAAACAAATGCAATGAATGAGTATGAGAACAATGTCTCAGTCAGTAAGTGTACACCTCACACATCTAAAGCATATCCCTCTCCCCCCCCCCCCCAAGACTCAAGAAGGAAATCTTGCATTGATGGGATAAATAATTAGCTCTGCACTGTACAAAAGCCAAAAAATTGTAGTTCTCTTATTAAAGTTGACTGTGCCAGATACAGGGACACGGGTGGCACTGTGGATTAAACCACAGAGCCTAGGACTTGCCAATCAGAAGGTTTGCGGTTCGAATCCCTGCAACGGGGTGAGCGCCTGTTGCTCAGTCCCTGCTCCTGCCAACCTAGCAGTTCAAAAGCACACCAAAATGCAAGTAGATAAATAGGTACCGCTCTGGCGGGAAGGTAAACGGTGTTTCTGTGCGCTGCTCTGGTTCGCCAGAAGCGGCTTAGTCATGCTGGCCACATGACCCAGAAGCTGTACGCCGGCTTCCTCGGCCAATAAAGCGAGATGAGCGCCGCAACCCCAGAGTCGGCCATGACTGGACCTAATGGCCAGGGGTCCCTTTACCCCTTTACCTTTACCTTATGCCAGATACAAACAGTTTGGGTTTTACTAAACAACTTCTAATGGAAACCATTTTGTGCGAATTCATATTTCTGGTTCAAACACTAAAAAACAACACACTAAGGAGAGTAAGTTTGCCCACCGTATTAGGTAGTAATGAAAACATCAACCAGTGCACAGATCACGATGCTCCCAAGCATTGCAGGGGCAAGTAAGTGCCTGGGATGAGGTGCAATAACTGCTGCATTAGCAGAACTTCAAAACTGCATTAGCAGAACTTCAAAACACTGGCTTCCTCAGTTCATCCAATTAAGGCAGCGACATGACTTGGCACAGCATCACCATGTCCAGCCACAGCAGAGAGCCATCACACAAAGCTGCTGTGTAGAACATGACTCAGCAGAGAGAGGGAAATGGAGAAGACTCCAGTAGCTATTCTAAAATGGAATTTTGGCTACCTCAGAAGCAAACATTCAAACTGTCATGAACAAGCTCTCTTCAGCTCCCTTTGTAATTACTCCAGGATTTCAGAGTTTTCTCAGAGAACACTTGGGAAAACTTAGATCTTTCTGGAGGTTCAGAAAGGAAGATCATATCTATAAAGGAAGTTCATCCTTCACTGAGAGGAGCTCAGAGGAGGATTTCCCAAACCACTCAGCCCCTGCTGCTTCCCAAACAATAGTACCAATAAACAGAATTTATTGGCTTGGAAACACACATTAAGACAACATGGGTAGGCAACATGGAGTCCTCCACATGTTGCTAGGCTCCAGCTTCCTCCAGCCCCAGCCGGCATGGTCAAAGCTTGAAGATGATGAATGTGGTAGTCCACAACATATTGAAGAGACCACATTGGCTACACCTGCTCAACAGCACCCAGATATTAAGGGCAAGGCCTGGAAGACACCCCCTGTTGCTAGCCAGCCCTTCCAGGCAGTGCCATGTGTCTGCTTCTCTATGCAAGCATAAGTTTGCTAGGAAAGAATGGCAGATACGGCTGGCAGCAAAGCCAGGTTCGTAATCTCAGGGTTGTGGGTTCAAGCCCCACCCTGAGCAAAAAGATTCCTGCATTGCTGCTGGGGGTTGGACTAGATTACCCTCACAGCCCCTTCTAACTCCATAGTTCTATGATTTTAACCTCCCACAATTCAAAATCCATTTGCATACAGTGGTAACTCGGGTTACATACGCTTAAGGTTACATACGCTTCAGGTTACAGACGCCATTAACCCAGAAATATTGCTTCAGGTTAAGAAGTTTGCTTCAGGATGAGAACAGAAATTGTGCTCCGGCGGCGCGGCAGCAGCAGAAGGCCCCATTAGCTAAAGTGGTGCTTCAGGTTAAGAACGGTTTCAGGTTAAGTACGGACCTCCGGAACGAATTAAGTACTTAACCCGAGGTACCACTGTATTTGCAACCAATGCAACCCTATGTAATAAAGTGCTCTTTAGTGTGTAGTGATGTATGGAAGTGAGAGCTGGACCATAAAGAAGGCTGATCACCGAAGAATTGATGCTTTTGAATTATGGTGCTGGAGGAGACTCTTGAGAGTCCCATGGACTGCAAGAAGATCAAACCTATCCATTCTGAAGGAAATCAGCCCTGAGTGCTCACTGGAAGGACAGATCGTGAAGCTGAGGCTCCAATACTTTGGCCACCTCATGAGAAGACTCCCTGGAAAAGACCCTGATGTTGGGAAAGATGGAGGGCACAAGGAGAAGGGGACGACAGAGGACGAGATGGTTGGATAGTGTCTTCGAAGCTACAAACATGAGTCTGACCAAACTGCGGGAGGCAGTGGAAGACAGAAGTGCCTGCCGTGCTCTGGTCCATGGGGTCACGAAGAGTTGGACACGACTAAACGACTAAACAACAACAACAGTGTGATGACAGTAGCTCACACAAACTATCTGCCTTGAAAACAAATGTTACAGAATGCAAAAAAAAAAGTGTGTTCAAACAACTTTCCCTGAACATTATAATGATTCTCTACCTCTACCAGCTGATGACTCGGTGGATTAACAATTAAACACACAGCATCAACGAAGAGACATCCATTATCCCTGCCTTCCTTCAGAATGTTGTTCAACAATGGCTGTGCTAAGCCTGAGCTCTGGGCTAGTCAGGGCCCTGTGTCTCCTTGCATCAACAGTGGCACCAATTCTGTGACCCGCAGTGACCATTCCCAGGAACTCCTAATTGATTTGGAAAATGGTAACATGAAGTAACCCAGGCCCAATTATTTGCAACAGGCTAGCAAAATGTAGCAGAGATAAACAGCCCATGGTTTAAAATATACAACTATGCTTGCTGGTGTAAGCTCATCAAAGGTTTGGTGCGTCAAAGCAGCAAACATTGTGATGAAGGCACAGGATTCCATTTTTCACCTGTCAGTTAGGACATTTTGACAATAGTAAAGTAATGAAATAGAGCTGGGCTCAAATAACAATGGAAAACATTTTTTCAAGAAAAACCCAAAACTACATATTCAACCACCCAGCAGAGGCGTGGAAAAACACAGCAGATCGAATGCTGTGCATATCTGACACAAGTCTCCAAATTAAGACTGCAACCACACAGCAAAGAAACTCTTGCCACAGAGACTGTTTACTTTTATTGATTCTGCTGGGGCAGTGCCAAGGAATTATTAATTCAAAGTCATTAGGGAGAAGCCAATAAATTCAGCTGCTTACATACAAACTCCTACTTGTGCTCTCCTTTGCTTTAAAAGATATGCATTAATAAGCCTCCTGGAGACTGAAAACAATAGGATTAAAAATAATTAAAAGGCAGGAGATAAATGCCATGGTTCCATTGTTCCATTTTCCATGTTGCCTTCACAGTGGGGGAGGTCTTTGCAGCATTGCTCCATCCATTACCATGAAGATTAGGTGTGAGGCCCCAGTGCACATGGGAGGAACCTGTGCTCCGGCTCCTCCCCATGCCAACACTGCTGTACCCAGAATTTGGGTAGGGGAACTGTCATCTGGAGGACTTTCAGTCCTTGGACTCCAGTTTCTAATATCACTTTCTCCATGGAATGAGAAGGGGCCACTCACAGTACCTCTCATCCTCCCACAACAAATAGGGATGCAGGTGGCACTGTGGTCTAAACCACTGAGCCTCTTGGGCTTGCCGACTGGAAGGTCAGTGGATCGAATCCCTGCGACGGGGTGAGCTCCCATTGCTTTGTCCCAGCTCCTGCCAACCTAGCAGTTTGAAAGCACGCCAGTGCAAGTAGATAAATAGATACCGCTGCAGCGGGAAGGTAAACGGCATTTCCGTGTGCTCTGGCACTCGTCACAGTGTCCTGATGTGCCAGAAGCAGTTTAGTCATGCTGGCCACATGACCCGGAAAGCTGTCTGTGGACAAATCTGCTCCATTTAGCAGTGGGGAGGAGTTGCGGTGGACCACATGGCCACCAACTCCCCTCCGGGGGCAGAGGACTGAGTCCTGCGTCACCCGGAGGCTCCCTGCCACGCCATCACCCAGCCAGCCAATCCGCTGGCTGGGGAGGCGTGGCTAGGCCCCATTTAAACAAAGGCATGAGATGAGCTGGAGAGCTTTCTCTTGGCTCGCTTCCTCAATCTCCCGCCCGCCCTCCCTAATTTCAGGTTTTGACATTGGCCTTGCTATGGACGACAGTCGGTCGCCGTTGAGGGGCCTGGTAGGAATTTTTCCACTTGGCAGATTGGCAAGGGCCACTTGGTTTTCGCCTACCTCGTAGCAATCGCCACAACTCTGTAAGGTTTGGTGGTTAGGCATTGGTTGATCTTATGATGGGGGAGGTGAGGTGTGGACATCACCTGCCCCTCCAAGCTTAAGAGTATTCCGTTAAAGGAATCCGGGGGTGTGGATCTTGTCCAAAGTCCAGGGCTGGGCTAGGGCCATGCCACAACTCCGTCGGGAACCCTGGGGGAGCTCAAGTTGGTTTGCATCAATGGGGCTCCCCCTATTGGTGGTTGAGCCTTACTGGACTCCCTGTGTGACGGGCGGGAGTCAGGTATAGTCGGGTCAGCTCCAATGCCTAAGCCAATACCACTCACATTCTGTAAGCAATAAAGTTGTGGCCAAATTTTGCCCAATAACATTAACCTAATATCCGTGTCCCTGTGTCTCATACATTGGCAAGAGGGTGGTTTCAAGGTCTCAACACACAAACGCTGGCTCCCTTGGCCTGAAAGCAAGATGAGCGCCACAACCCCATCATTGCCTTTGACTGGACTTCACAGCCCAGGGGTCCTTTACCTTTACTTTTTTTTTTTTTACCATGACAAGGACTTCTTTAACCACATATATTTTGTAATCAATTACAGCAACTTTCAAAGCACTATAGTCAACTTCTTCCCTGTTTACTTCCTTTATTGTCTTTGATACCAATACTGATGGTATGGAAGGAAGCATTTAACATATTCATGAAGGTAACAGTTCAGCACATCTTAATATATGCTCGGTTTTTGCTCAACATATTGAAAAGTCAGTTTAATGAACAATAAAGTCAACAGCAAAGTGAGTTCATTCATTTAAGTTCCCTGCTGCAATAGTATTTATGCGTTGTTTGTTTATATTGACAGCAAATGTTTAATTTTCCCCCTGTGTATTTCCTAACTCATGTTTAACTCATACAAATGTCATAAAGGTACTCTGCATACATACCTTGAAAGCAACAAGTAAACCTGTTTTTCCATTTCTTTCTTTTAGCTGCAGCAAGCAGCTCTGAATAATGTATAGTTATTTGAATTGTAGGCTAGACACTCTTTTTTTAAAAAAAATGTCTGGAAACAAAACCAATCTGTCCACTCTTGGCTGAAGGAAGTCAAAAACATCATGAAAACTTCAGGGGCAGGTAATGAGGAATTACTAGACTTTCTGCAGTCTGGAAATTCACCCCAGGAAGAATTAGATGCTGGACCTGTCCAACCCCTCCCACACCCAGATTTCAAAGACATCTGCATTCTGCACTGGCGTTTAAGGTACAAATCCTAAGGCTCCAATCCTACACATATTTACCTGAGACTAAGCACCATTTAATATGCACAGACTTCTGAGTATGTATGCATAGGTCTGTTCAGTAAATTACTTTAGTTAGAATACCTGGTCCTGCTGTGGCCAACTGAGGCAATGATGATGCCTTGCTGCTGTCATTTTTTTAATGTTAAAAGCAGAATGATAATCTGGCAATAAGCAACAACTCTGTTGTCCTCTACTAAATTTACTGACTGCGTCGAAAGATCTAAGTTGCCAAGACAAGCAAGAATGCACTTATCTACATAGCTTTTGATAGCTTCACAGCTGGAAGGGATTTTTAAAAGCTTTGCATTTTGTTGAAGTGGAAGCTTAGGTTTTACGAAACATACAAGTACAAAAGAAAGAGCATAACATTAAATCTCAAAGAGCCCACAGACCTTTTGTTCTCGCACATCTCATTTATCTTCGCGTTCTACTACGTTTGTGTTTTCAGTCCTACACCTGAACTGCATGCTCAGGAGTGCAAGAATGGGATATTTGCTCACCTGAAGAACAAGAAGCACATCTCTGTAATTATAGGCAATGCAGTTACTGCCACATCCAATGAAGTTCTTATTTTCTTCATATCTCAGCTTCATCCCAAATGGGATTTTGACTGGTGCCTGAACAGCAAAACTCAGCTCCAGGGAAGACTTGTGGCATTGTTGTCTTATTACGTTTTTAATTGTATTGATTTTACATAGTTCCTAAGTCACCTTGCGGAGCCTAACTGACAGAAAGGCAAATATTTTATGGCATCCCTCTGCGAACAGTTTTGAACGCTCCAAAACAGAAGCAGATTCTTGCTGTGTTTTTAAATTTGGAAGGAGGAGATTTTGTGATAAGTGTTCTGGTCCTAAATCAAAATCCCAAAGCACATGCTTAAGTTCTCTTCCGGGTCCGAGCTCTGCTTCTTGCAAATGTTCATAGACTCACCCGGCAAAGTTTACTGAATCTGAAATCTGCCCAGGAAGGAAGGGGATCGCCAAAGGGCACTCTGGATGTGGCCCCAGAGCCACAGAGTGCATTGACAAGCACAAGAAGAGTGCCTTGGGATATGTGCACGGTGCTTTTCTGAATCATCTGAACCAGTCTCCACAAACATGGGGCTCAGGGAAGGCTAACCAGTTGTTTTGGACCTGGCCTCACGCTACAAATTAAGCATCAAAATATAAGAATTACATAAGATAATGCATCTCCTTCACAGCCTAGTTACCCAGGAGGAGGAGAGGACTGCAGGTCACTTTCTGAATAGTTGCATAAGCCAGATTGTTGTAGTACTGTGGCTTGTAAAAATAATTAAATGCTTGCTAGAAGGGGAAAGGGCACTGCTCCAATAGCCCAATAAAGCAGTTGCTTAGCTAATAAAATAAACACCACTAATGTAAACTGCTGCCAACCAATTTGTAAACTGTTAATGTTCAGTACTCCAGAGCCTGTCTACAGCTGGCATGGTCCAGCGGAAAAAATACGTGAGTTAGAAGCTGAAAAATCTGGTTTCAAACTCAGGCTCTGCAATTGCCTCACTCGAGTATTGATCACCTTTGGCAAATTATTATCTTTATATAGTTAGAAATACAGGATTGTGAAATTAATTTTGGTGCATATACACATTCCTCATAGTTCCATCACATTCTCGCTGCAACTTGAGACCAAAAAGAAAAATCATCTCCCGTGACAGATGGTCCTGTCTCTGTCTGGAGTATGCACAGCACTCTCTCACAAGGTTCCCCAAAACATATATGCTTTTTCTGTCCCCACAGCCCTGCACATCACAATTCTGCTAAATTTTTGCTAAGCCCTGCAGTTGAGGTTTTTTAAAAAATGGAAAAAGACCCATGCATATTTCAGCACTAATCACAACTGGACAGCAATAGATCTTGTCAACAATACCAAAACTCGTTACATATTACACATTTATATTTTCGCCAGTGATTTTTCTTTTAAAAAAAGTTAACTCATGGTATGCTGCAGACTTAAAAAAAGATACAGCAGAGGAGGACAGATATCTGTATTTACAGTATTTAACACAAAGCAAAGTTACTTACTCTGTAGGTCCAGAACAGGAGGCTGCTTATTGATGAACAGAATAAAATTCAACTACATTGGAAAATAACATGCTAGAGAGTCCAACTCATTAATTGCTGGAGACAATATTTAACTCTATAAATACCAATTACTACAGTTTGTTTAACCCTGTCTCCTCAGGCTGGCTTTCTGCTCAAAAGCATGCTTCCCCCACCTCCAGCAAGCTGCAGGGGGGAAAATATATGAGTAGCTCGCTGTATCTTGTTTGTTGCCTATGAAGCGGGGGGTGGGGGGGAGAGAGAATCTGGGGAAAGACTGAGCAGGGGGGGAAACAACCTGAAAGAAAAAATTTGGAGCAACCATCCTTCCCCTCCACTGTTTTTCTTCAGAACTGCCTTGTAGGTGGTTACTTTTGAGTAAAAAGGGAAAAAGAAAATGCTGGGATGAAACACAACTTATGGCTGAATAGATCATGTAGTTGGGCCCTACTTTTGTCTGCCTTTTTTTAAATCATTGTAATTTTTGGAGGCTTTAATCCAAGAGCACAGCACATCCAAATAAATGCTAGGGGAGAGGAAGAGAGAGCTACACGTGCAGATTCAGGTCACCATCCTTCCAAAGATGAAACCAACCAGTGTAATTTAATATTTATCTATTCTCTGGCTCATCTCCCCCTTTGTTTTAGTGTGTTGTCTTGATACAGTTCAGCAGAGGGGAGAACCAGGAAGTGAAGCTGAGCAGTTCTCTCGCCTGAACTGCTCTCTAGATAGCACTCTGATACAGAAAGAGACAGGGCTCAAGAGAATATATAAATATCTTATAAAGCATCGCAACACTCAATAATTAATTTCCAGCAAGAAGAAGCTTTTATTTCAACAATACATGGGTGCAAAAAAGAAAAAAGAGTGCTTTAATTCCACATCTGCTGCCACATTACCCCTGACCTGACCCCAAACTAAGAGAGAAAATGGAAGAGCCCCAACTTTAAAAAAAAAGTATTACTGCAGCTGAAAATATTAAATGTATTTTTTTCCCTAAGCATTTATACCCCACTGTTCAGTCAGAAAAGCACTGAGAGTAGCTTACAAATCAATAAAAACAACAGAGTCCTTTCCCTCAGGCTTAAAACATGGCACAAAAGGGGGGGGGAAGTGATGGGGAGGGAAGAGGAAAACAAGCAAACTCTGGCATCAAATTCTTAATGCTACAACATTCTTCTAATAACCAGCTTGGATTGAAACAGGCTATATGCAAAAAGTTTTTTTTAAAAAAAGCCTTGGTGGGCAAAGCCTTAAAGTGGCTATAAATGCAGCAAGAAGTTATTGACCTGACAGAGTAGAGTCTTGGCCTCTGGGGTCCTAGCTGGAATCTGCCAGCTTCTTGTTTCTCCTGTCATGACAGGTAGTCTCCACTAAAGCTCTGTGGTACAGCATCTGCTTTGCAGGCAAAAGGTTCCATGTTCATTCCCTGATATTTCCGGGTAGGCCTAGGAAATATTCCTGTATGAACTCTTGGCAGAAGCTGCTTGGACTATAAACACTACTGAGCTAGATGGAACAATGGTCTGGCTTGGTAGAAAGCACCTTCTTACATTCCTAACACCAAGCCTCCTCTATTTGTGTTGTACAATCCCCTCTTGCACCACTTCTTTTCTGTCAAGCCATAGTTTGCCACTGCATTCAAACTGGACAAACCATGGCATGCACAACCATAGTATTCCAAATTCAGGTAGGTAGCCGTGTTGGTCTGACGCAGTTGAAATTTGTAAAAAAATATAAATTTTGTCTAGTAGCACCTTAGAGACCAACTAAGTTTGTTCTTGGTATAAGCTTTTGTGTGCATAGTATTCCAGTTCAACTAATAAGGCCAAACTACAGCTACAAACCTGGAAGTGCTGGTGAATGTGAGAAGGGAAAGGGAGTACGTAAACCCTGGTGCTCATTCTTGTAATTCCAAACCACATTTCGGGTGATACATCTTAACTGAGCTATAGTAAGCGGCTGCAAGAATATTTATTTATTTCAGGGGCATTAATGCCCCACTTTTCAATCAGGGTCTCAGGGAGGCTTACATATTAAAATAAACAATAACACCATCCCTGCCCTTAGACTTGGAATCTAAAAGGACATAACCCAATCGGAAAAAGAAGATACAGCATTGTTCTGTATACCCTGCAAATAACTACTCAATATTTAAACTACCAGTCAGCCACTTAATAATTTGTTCCATGGCATGAAAAAGTCGCTGAATATACACACATCTCCTCATTTTAACTATTTCTGAGGGGTTTTTTTCACAGAGCTTGTCTCAGAGAGCAAAGGAACAAAATGCTCATTGATTTGCAGTTAGCATCTGTTTTGTCAGCAGTAATTTGAGATTTATATACTGAATGCTGAGCTGAAGTAAAAAGCATTTCTTTGGACTGGATCCCAGTATTAGTTAAGAATACTTAATGTCAATGATAGAGTAGTTCCCTGAAAAAAAAAATGTTTAGCATCACATGTTAACCTAATGGCACAAGCTCAGCTGTCAATCCAGAAGCTGCTCACCTGTGGCTCCTACTTCAAGGTGAAGTGCCATGCTGCTGCTCCTCACTACTGAGTCACAACCAGCAGCTGAAACCCACAGATTACAGCTGAGGATAACTCCAGTTCTTCGCTTCAAATGAGTTCTCAGCACTGTTCGAAATTAGCCAGGCATCAGGCGCATTTTGCAACTGGGGTGGGTATAATTGCGACCACGTGGCGCTCTCTGAATGCCAGATTGACGACCGACATCTCCATCTGGCTGGCTCCTCCAGCCTTCTTAAGCAGGTAAGCAGAAGAGCTTATTTATTTCATTTATATCCCAAACAATCCGGGGAATGGTTGTTTATTTAAGGGTAATAAAAGCGATCCCTATTCACCTCACAGAGCTACAATTCTCAGAGTGGTCTAACGGTCATACCCTCTTCCCAGGAACAGTAGCTCTGTGAGGAGAACAGAGGTCTCTCAAATTCAGCTGTCAGTTTCCTATCTGTGACCGGCTACATGGAACATATATCACTACTTCTGGATACTGGTGCATTTCCATGCACCATTCGAAGTCCTAGTGCTTGGTTCCCTGTCCGGAAAAGCTCATCAGGGACCAGCTGAGATGTCATTCTACTGCCAGGAGATGGCCTTTTTATTATTATCCACCCAGTCTTTTTAGCATGTAGTATCTACTGGACATGTGGTGATTTTATCCAATCTGCTGTTCTATGCTGAACTTTTATGCCATTGTCACTTTTAGCATGATTTACAATAATAACAGTATTAACTGCAGCCTTTGGCAGGCTGATGAGCACCTGAGGTTTTGAACTACAACTCCCATCAGCCTCAGCCAGTACAGACATCACCCGTGGCTGATGGGAACTGCAGTCCAAGGCATCTGGAGGATACCAGGTTGGCAAAGCCTGGTTTATAGTAGCAGCAGCTTATTATGACTATTGCTGGTGTTTTCTTACTGTAGTGCAACACTGTCGTAATAGTTCCTAAAATCATTCAAATAAATCAATGCAAAATTGGAAAGGGTGTCAGTTTGACTTTCCAGCTCAGGCATGAAAACACCACTGGACACTGTTCAACGTACTGTTTAATTAAGCAGCAGCATCCAAAAGTCTCCCATCAGAAAGATTACAAGTAAAGTTATAGATTTCATTCCTGGCACCATCAGCTATAGAGGGGGGACAGAAAGCTCTGGCATTCAAATTAGAAATACATATTTGAATGCCCTCTTTCAACCACTTAGCTTCTCTTCAACAGTTAAGCTATTTCACCCATAACTGTGTCTTTCCCCTGTGTGATATGCAGCATAATCTTATGCATGTTTACAAGATCCACTGTTTTCAGAGGTAGAAGAAGAGGAGTTTGGATTTGATATCCCGCCTTTCACTCCCTTTAAGGAGTCTCAAAGCGGCTAACATTCTCCTTTCCCTTCCTCCCCCACAACAAACACTCTATGAGGTGAGTGGGGCTGAGAGACTTCAGAGAAGTGTGACTGCCCCAAGGTCACCCAGCAGCTGCATGTGGAGGAGCGGAGATGTGAACCCGGTTCCCCAGATTACGAGACTACCGCTCTTAACCACTACACCACACTGGCTAAGTGTGCATAGGGCTGCAGGCTGAAGCACATTACCAGGAGCAGGTCCCATTAACCACTGTGAGATTTATATATGGAGATACTAACTTGCTTTCATATAAATAACTCTGTTCTCTTCCAACAGTCTGGATTTGAGCCAAGGATGTAGGCATTAAACTATCTCCACTTACCATGTTTAAAATAAAACTATTTCCCTCATTTTAGTTTGTCAGTTTTCATTCCAAAAACATATGCACAAATCCATCAATGCTTAAAAGGAAGCCCTGCCTGCCTGCCTTACCAGGTATGCAATGGAGTGGGGAAAATTAAAATAGAATGAGAAATGGAAGAAGTCCGTGCTGCACTTCCTTCATATTCCATTTAGGAAAGAATCTCAACTACTCCTGCTTGAAACCCCTGGGGAGTCCTCATCAACCTGACATGTCTTAATTTGAGCTTGTTTTCCAGGTCATTGGCTTCCTCTCTCGGTGCTTCTCCATTTTAAAAACTCTTAGTAAAAGAAGCGCGAGATCCACCCAAAACAATTTCTCTAAATATGCAACAATTTCCCAGGAGCAGAGATGGCACTCTTGACTCGCTAAGAGAAGGAATCATGACCTGACTGACATCCATGCATTATTGTCTCTCTGGAATTGTGAATATGTCACAAAGCCAAGTGCATGCCCCATGCAGGGTGCAGGGATGTGACTGGCTTATGGATCATATCCTGCACTTCTCTAAAGCCTTGATGTGATGAGCAAAACATGCCCTGGCAATTTATTTATTTTTGTGGTTTTCACAGCACATTTTCAGAGTAACTAATCCCCTTCCATCCCTTTCTGATCCTCACCACAAAATTTTGAGTTGAGCTGGTGTGGCATAGTGGTATTAATACAAATAATATAGGAGTTAGTAGACAGCATATAGGGACGTGGGTGGCACTGTGGTCTAAACCACTGAGCCTAGGACTTGCCGATCAGAAGGTCGGCGGTTCGAATCCCTGCGACAGGGTGAGCTCCCGTTGCTCGGTCCCAACTCCTGCCCACCTAACAGTTCGAAAGGACGTCAAAGTGCAAGTAGATAAATAGGTACTGCTCCAGCGGGAAGGGAAACGGCATCTCTGTGTGCTGGTCTGGTTGTGCCAGAAGCTGGCCACATGACCCGGAAGCTGTACGCCGGCTCCCTTGGCCAATAAAGCAAGATGAGCACACAACCCCAGAGCCGTCTGTGACTGGACCTTACGGTCAGGGGTACCTTTACCTTTACCTTTAGACAGCATATAGTAGATTGGGAGACTCTTTCTGATACCATGACCTAAGAGCATAAGAAGAGTCCTACTGGAGCAGGCCAAAGGCCCATCTAGTCTAACATCCTGTTCTCACAGTGGCCAGCTGGACGCCTATGGGATGCCCACAGGCAGGACCCAAATGCAGCAGCACTCTCCCCACTTGCAATTTCCAGCAACTGGGATTCAGAAGCATACTGCCTCCAACAGGGGAGGTAGAGCAGAGCCATTGTGACTTGTAGCCATTGACATCCTTCATGGATTTGCCTAATTCCCTTTTAAAGCCACCCAGGTTGGTGGCCATCACTACATCCTGTGGGAGCAAATTCCATGATTTAACTATATGAAGAAGTGCTTTCTTTTGTTCTTGTTATTCCTGTAGAAATCCTCCAAATTGCCACTTTCAGTACAGGAAACATAGAAAGCAATGTGTTCCAACGAGGTAGCGTTGCACCCAGTCTAGGGTGAGGCCTACTGAAGTCCAGCCACTGTAGTCACCAAAAACCATCCCCAAAGAGGACAAACTGAGAGGTGGGGTTTCCACATTCCACAAGATGCACTGCTATTTGACAGTCGAGTTGGCACTGGAGGGGAGACTGACCAAGGCTGTCTTCTGAGAACAGACAAATGCTGTGGTTGAAATTGAGCTAATGGCCCATGAACATCTGCGTAGTCAAAACATGGAGTGCTGGATGCATCTGCCAACTAGGAAATACTATAGCTTTGGGAAAGAGCTGTAGTGCATTTGCCTTGCGT